TGATCAGAAAAAAAGACTTCATCAGCTTGGCTGAACTGCTGACACCCAGACTTAAAAAAAAGAAAATCTTTTTTGTGGCGAGGGGCCAGTATGGCAAACGTGATTCGCGGCAGCATGAATGGAGATATGCGTCTTAAAAAGCCTAAAACAATAGAGAAGAAAGGAAGAAAAGGAGATGGTCTCGATTTGCGAATGGCCTCACATTGCCCTTGTTATCCCTCCGACACAGCGTAGAGGCTCCTGGACCTTTTGATATTCCTCATCAAAACCTATGTTCTCCATGGCTTTCGTTTCAAAGGGACACTGGCTAATCCATGCCACTGAGTTATCTTCAAATCACAGGCATTTTAACTGTAGCCAGTGCCTTCACTCAAAGGAATGAATCTTATGCTGGGGTTTCAAGCTAGAGTCGCCTCTGGGCTCCGAAGTCCCTTCTTTGTCCGAGAACTCAGCAGGTCGCCTTCAAGCTCCTCTGAGAAAGCCATCGTGCTTCATTCGTCTTTGCATTTCCAGCGCCCACAACAATTTTGTCCTCTTGCAAATTGTCCAGAAATGCTTGTGGAATGAAAGAGGGAATGAACGTGAGGGAGATGTCCTACGGCCGGTCCCAGTTATTGTCGATCAGTAAGCTAAATAGCTTATTATTAAATAATACACACGAACTGAATAGGTCTAGTATCAGACCGCTTGGCCTACGTTTTGGCTGTATCTGAAGGCCTCCTTCATCCTGGCCCCACTGCTATCCAATAAGGGGCATTTTCCTTCTTTTTGAGAGACTGTGAGCATGAGCGATTTGCCTGATCTCTGTCCGTCTTTCTCTCCATCCTCCAACTCTCCGCTGCCTCCCAACCCCCCGCAGTCTTTGCAATAAAAAGAGAGCACGGAACTGCCTGTGCCACAGAGCTGCCTGAAAGACGCACAAATACTGTGACTCCCTGGATGCAAGCTTCCCCCGCCGGCAGTCAGGAAGAGAGAGCGTGCGGAAATCTTAACCTCTCTGAACATCCTGTCCTTTAGGTAAAGCTCCTCTTGGAGAGCTGTCCCTGGAGGCCCCCGACTTGTCATATTCCTGACACTCTCTCCCGCCATGCCGTTTATCAGCGAGAGGAAGGCCCGCCCGAGCGCCAGCTTTGTTCAGGGACCACAGCTTCTAGACGGCAGCAGCCCTGCGGTCAGATTCCAGATTTCTCTGCAATTGAGGTTTTAATCCCTCCCTGGGTGCAGATCTTTCTTAAAGGCAAAATGGAGTGGTAGAAAAGTAGCTTTCAAATCACACATACTTAGGTCCAAACCCTTGTTTCCCTGCTTCCACTGTGACTCTGGGCACATTACTTACCCCTGTCCATCTGACTTTTCCCACCCGTGAAGTGGGGATTTTAACAACTGGCTTGGCAGGGCTGTGTTTGTCCGCAGAGCCAAATGGATCTTGGCTGGGAGACAGTCGGTCGCCTTCCCAAATGGAATTTCAAAAAGAAGAGCAACACGACTCAACTGGAGCTGAGGAGACTCGCCACAGTGGGTACAGAAAATAAACCAAGCTTTAAAACATGAGCCCAGAATCAAAACCGGTAAAAGCACATGCTCCTAAGAACAGGTGTGACTTTGTATTCAAGATTCTTCTCACCAAGGTAACTGCGGACTGCACTGTAACGCAGGTTGCGGCAAGAAGCTGTTATTTGTCTTTGGTTAATGATTCCCCCAAGCGAGATCAGGATGAAGGTCCCGGGGAATCCAGAGAAATCCGTATTCCCCCTTCCGGTGTAGGCCAAACACCAAAAGCAGAGCCCTCGCAAGGCAGCGTCAGCGACTGTCACAGGCAAGTGGCCCTGAATGTCGCGTTTGCTGCTGGCTGTCTTTCATTTGCCCTTGCAGGTCCCCACCCTGCGTGCCACCCGGCTCTGTGCCCTTGAGGCTGCCCAATGGGCTGTGTGCACCAACTCCCTCCCTCTGGGTGGTGGTGGGTTGGGAGGCGAGCAGGAGACGGGAGGCTGGCCCTTCCTTGTGGGGTCCCACCAGGCCAGGGAGACCGCCCTTCCTCCATCTCGAGGCCTCTCTGCATCTAGGGTTCCAGTTCAGCTGCCCGCTCCTGCCTCTTCAGCCTAGGGGTGCACCCCAGCCCCGGGCGCACCCTGCGCTCTGCACCCTGCCACGCCTAGTAACGCCTCTTAGGAGACTGCCCTCTGGGTCACCGCAGCTTGCCAGAGCCTCCCCACTCCTGCAGGAACCCTCAGATGTACCTTTTTTCTTCACAGCCTCCACGTTTTCATTCCCTGCACACAAGGCCTCACCTTCAAGAAAGAAAAATCTGCTCTCCTCTCTCTCTCACCCCCACCTCAGAATTCTGTGCAGGGCTTCCGTTTTGGGGGACCCTTTGTGCTTACTACTCTCTCCTTATTGGGGGAGTTTTCTCCTACTGAACTCTGTGTAACTCAGTAGACAGAGGCCGATTCAGATCTGTCTCCTCTTTTTCTTTCCTGTAAAAAAAAATCCCTGCCTCTCCTTGTTGGTTTTGTGCAGCTAAAACCCTATTCCAATCGTGAATTAATTCTTAGGGTCTCATGCTCTCAGCCATTTAAACCAACAGCACTGGAAAGGTTGTCCTGAGATGGCCTTGGCTTTATACGTATCAGCCTCTGTGCTGGCGGTCTCGGTCCCTCCAGACCCACTTGGCCTTCTCCAGCCTGCTGGGCTCTCCCCCGGCTGGACTCCAGTTAAGACTGGCTAACGAGCACACCTAGGAGGGGAGGTCAGGGTATTCCTCCCTGTCACGGCCAGGTCATCAGGTGACCCCCCCACGGCTGTGGCTCTCGCAGGGGTCTGCACACAGCACCCTCACCGTGTCCCTCCAGTCCCAGGGCAGCGTCCCTTTCTCTCTATTGCCAGTGCCTAAGGCACTTTCCTTTGCCTTTTTGTTCCCTTAACCCTGCCCGTGCTTCTGTAAACAGTTCCTGCAGTAAACCCTCGTCAGCTGCTGCTCTGGGTGTGCATCTGCCGGGACCTTTACACACACCTCGGGGCACAACACATGCCCTTTAACGTCATTCAGAGACTGGAAGGATGGAGTGCAAGCTCTCATCCTAGGTTGACTCTAATTCAGAAGGCACGCTTGGGATCCTGACTCGAATCCTGGCTCTTCCTTCAAGTCCTCACAGATCACATAACAGGTCTGCTGACATGGTTTCCCAAGAGATGGTCTGGACCCAGGACGCTGACTCCTCAGGCAGACACTGCTCTGGGCACAGGGTCCTAAAGGAGCCGAATGCAGACACAGCCAGCGGAGGCCCTTCTGTGGGACTTGAACCTGACGCCTCTCTGGTGTCCTCCTCTAGCGAGCTGGGCTCATCCCCGCCAGAGCCATGAGGGCTGCTCGTGCCCTCTGACCTATAAGCTCAACTAAAATTGGTCTGTTTGCCCCAGGCCCACACCCGGGGCTGGAGGAGGACTTCAAACCAATGCTTCACATTTACTCAACATCCGTTCAGTGGGGGATGAGTTAGGATTGACTAGGAATGTGTTTTAAAATTTTCTTTTCTGCCTGGATGTGATTGGGATCAATATATTTATTTTTCAGATATATTTTGCAAAATACACGTGTAGAGACCTGAGTTAACTGGCTCCTTGTGGATGGAAAGTGGGTACAGCTGCTCAGCTGGCCTGTCGGTTAATTTGATTTGTTCATCCTGCACTTGGCTGTCTAAGTGTTTATCCTTACATTGCAAAATAACTCAAGGTAAGACCAGGAAAACCCAAAAAGAGCCGTTGTCCCCAGGATCCTCTCCTTCCTGCCTCCAGACGAGCGGCCTTGCAGAACGGACCCACGGCTCTTCCCCATGGAGCGGACAGGGAGCGGAGACTGGCGCCTGGGAGGTGGACCGGGCTCGGCCTGCCTTTTGCTGTGGGTGTCAGGAGGACGGCCCACCAAGCATGGGAGACTAGGGACCAAGGGACTCAAGTAAAATGAGCAGAGGGACAGACGGAACAAAGGCCGAGCAGCGTGTTTCAGGCCTCGTTCCCCACCGCCAGCCCGTGCGGGCCGAGCGCCGTCAGAGCTGAGGTCTGGGAGGGAAGGCGGGTGGACGCCTTCGGCTGCTCTGGCAGCAGGCAAGCGCAGTTCTGAGCCCCCGTCTGCTCTCTTTCCCTCGGCATTTTCACCTTTGTGCCCCTTGGGACGTGCAGCGCTGAGCTAACCCACACGGGAAGGCTGCCTGACCTCCAAGCGCCACCAGAGTCAGTGTTTAGAAAAAGCGGTCGCGTGGTTAACGGCCGCGTGCTGCTGCCCGAGGTGGATTCCGCCTTCGTCTTCTTCCCTCCCAGCGATCATCTCGGTGCCCACGGCAACTCCTGGATGGGATTTTTTGAGTGGCCATGACATCCGAGGCTCGTGCGTGGTACGTGCCTATTTTTGAATCCTGTGAGATGCTGCCGCTTAAAAGGAACCATGGAAACCAGCCCACTGATGCTTGTAAGGTGCTCAAACTACATCTGCCTTTTGTTCGCACCCCAACCTGTGACTTGGAGGGACCGAAATGCCTCGGGAAGAAAGGGTAGGGCATCCTCAGCAGCCTGGCCCATACAGACCGCAGGGAAGGGTCCAGTGGGCTCCCCAGAGCACAGTCGCCAGGGATCCCCGAGGAGTGGTTTTATAAAACTCCATCTCCTCCTCCTTGGACTGGGCTTCTTCCCTTCGCTCCCCCACTGCCGCTGTTGTTTTTCTGCCATTCCAGAGAGAGGCCCCCTCCACCCACACCACTGTCATCACAGTGAAACCCGTCCTCTCTAGTTCCCTGTTACTCCCCCGGGTCCCCCAGCGTCTTCCCACTGCCTTGTACCACAGATGAGAACCTTATTATTTTTTATGATGCGATGATAGTGGTATTGTCTGGAGGCCCAGTTTTTGTGGGACAAGGTGAGACTGGCTCATGTTGATCCATCTGTGTCTTTTAAAGTGGGTTTCCTTTAATATCCAAAGACCTAAAAGTGACCGGAATGAAGAAGAAAAATTTGACAACATATCACTTTAATGGGGATCCAGAACATTAAAAAGAAACAGCCAGAACTCTGCATCGCTGGGAGAGGTGAGACTTGCTGTGGGAGAGATTCCTGGGTCTCCTTATTAAACCTCTGCAAACAGAACCATGTCCTGGGTTCACAGCCTTGCTGGATGTAAGCTGGAGTCTCTGACAAACGGGGGTGCCTCTGCAAGCTCACCTCTCCAGTCTGTGGCGAACACTACCTAACACACGAGGGAGGCACCAAAGAGAGGATGGTGGGCGACAGAAAACAGCACCAGCTGGCCCGGCGTCCAGACCTCACGCTACGGCCCGCCTCCTCCTCCCCCTGCCCCGACCCCCCTCCAAGCCCTTCTGCCTGGTGCCTCCGTCTCGGCTCTGCCCCCGCAGGACCCCCTCTGCACCCTTGTCGCTGATGGGCAGTGGTAGTGTGTGTCCTGAGCCCGGTGCTCAGGTCAGCGGCAGCTTCCTCCCGAGCCATCGGCGTCTCCCAGGCCAGCCTTGTCCCGCTCAGTCCTCCCTCCTCCTCTGCAGCTTGGACCTGGTCTCCTCCTGCCGGCGTCTCCAGGCGGCGATGATGGCTTCGTCGCCCACCTCTTCCTCTTCCTCCCTGTCTGTGCTTCTCCGGTACTGGGACCGCCGCCCGGAAGCAAACCTGCCCTCTTCTCTGTTTTCCATCCTCTCCCTCTCTCCCTCTTCTTCAGACCTCATGAAGCTCTGGGTGAATTTCCTCTTGGCTCCAAATTCGGAGAAGTCTGACGTGGATGACTCTGCCACGTCTTCCCAGTCCCTGGGCCTGGCCCAGTCTGGACGCCGTGGTTCCGGGGACCCTTCCCCTTCGGAGGGCTCGGGGGTCCGGCGGAAGAAGTAGGGCTCTGGGCTCTCCCCCCGGGAGCTCGAGGTCTCACTGAACGTGGACCTGGAGAACGTGTGCGTCTGTCTGCCCTGCCTGGTGGAGGAGCAGGAGAACCGCGACGTGCTTCTTGCAGAGCTGCCACTCGCCTCGTGGTAGGCGGACACGTCCTGCTCCTCTGATTGGGATTCGGAGAACGTGTAGCTGGAGGATTTAGACTCTGTCTCGCGGAGCAGGGAAGATCTGGTGAACCTCCCCCTGGAGCTTCCTGACCCATTGCTCTGGGGAGGAGATTTTCCCTCTGTCCTGAGGCCACAGAGCCACTTATTAATACTGCTCTCTGCCTCTTTGGTGGCTCTGCCACCACTTCCGTAGTGGCCGGAGACAGCAGGGGACGAGGAGGTGTCTGTGTCCGGCTTTTGGGAATTGCTTGGGGAGGAGTACCAGACGCTCCCGATGGCGCTGTCAGCATCCTCATCCCCGCCACCCATGTCCTCATCTTCAGCCTCCTTGACCTTCTTCTTCTTGAAAAGGGAGCTCCGCTTGTTGTCGGAGGCCAGCTTCTCCATTCTGTACTTGGACATCTTCTCCCTCAGCTCCAGCTGCAGCTCCTTCTCCTTCCGGCCAATCTCCTTGAGGTCCACATCGTCGGCAAAGAGGCTATAGATGGGCTTGCTGGTGCCCCCCGCCTTGCTGCCAGGACCTTCCACCCTTGAGCTCAGTGTGCCGTGGGAGGAGAGCACAGACTGTGTGTCCGAGCTGGCTCTTGCCTGGCTTTGAGGCAGCAGGCAGCCACCCAGGCAGGAGCCACTCTGTCCACTGAGCATGGAGACCTGGTCGTCCCCCAGGCAGCTGGCTGCCGGTGCCACCTTCGTGCTGGCGCTGGATGGCGAACGCGACAACAGCAGCATTTCATGTTGCTTCTGGGCGAGAGTTTCGCTGACTACGTTGGCAATCCAGTTCTGGATGCTGGCGATGGAAACGGTGTCTCCAGGCCCCACTGGCAGGCTAGGCAGCGGTGGGGTGGGACCGGAGGCCAAACAAGCCCCTGCATTGCTCGCGGCCTGAGATGGCTGGGAGCTGCGGCTCTGGGTGCTGAGTACTGACGCTGTGTCCCCATCAGCACTGAGCGACGGGGCTGCAGACCAGAAGGCGGACAGGGGGATGCTCCTGCCGGCAGCAGAGCCGTCCGCCTCCCAGCTCCCCATGGACTGGCTCTCCTCCAGCGTCTGCCTGCTTCTCTCCAGCAGCTCCAGCCTCCGCTGCCTCTTCTTGGCTGAGGCCGAGTCCTCCCCCCGGCCGAGCTCCACCACCTCCTCCTTGTTTCCACCGCCCACCTTCCTCTGGTGTCTCAGCTTCCAGGCCTGGTAGGCCGTCAGGTTGATGTCTGAGAGGCCCTTGCTGTCCCCCTCCGCCTCCCCGGTGCCTTGCTCGCTGCTGCCGTCTCCTGCCTCCGAGTCTTTCTTGTGAAACCCAAACTGGATCCTCTTGATCTTCCATCTTTCCAGGGCAGTGAGTTTGTCCTTGTTCCTGCCGCAGAAGTTATAGAAGGAGCTGGCCTCAGAGGACACGCTCTGCTCGTCGTCCTCACGCGCGCTGCTGCCTGCCTCTGGGCCCGCGTCCGCCTCCTCTCTCCTGCCCCGGGAGCGGTACCTTCGGGAAGCTTCCCTCTCGATCTCCAGCAGCCTCTGGTTCCACACGTCCCAGGTGCTGCCCGTGGACACTGAGTCGGAGCGGCGTCTCCCGCCTTGGTTCAGGCCGCCCGCGTCCAGCTGCTGCATCAGGACCCGGATGTCCTGGCTGCTCACGCTCTCTGAGGTGCTGGTCTCGCTCAGGGTGCGGCTGCGCCTTCTCCCCAGGAAGCAGCCAGGACCACCTTCCTCCTCCTCCTCCCGACTCCACCTCTGGTGCCCCTCTGCCTGGTACCTCTCATTTCGGCTCTGCCACTCCCAGATGATCCGCTCCACGTCTTCGTGCCTGGGCTCCCTCCCGTCCTGGCCAGAGGAGGCCGAGCGGCTGCCATCCTCACCCTGGGGGCCCTTGCCCGTGGGGAGGCCCTGTGCCCTCTTCCACTCCTCATACAGTTTCTCTTCCTCATCTTCATCAATGAGGGTGCAGGGCCCGGAGGCTCGGCGGGCCTTCCCCACGGGGGAGCCGCTCAGGCAGCTGGTGGCGTCGTCCTGCTCCTCCACCGAGAGGGCGCGCACCCTGGGGCTCCCTGCGCCCTCACCTTCCTCAGCCTCACCCCCTCCCCACTCCTGGCCACGGTCCACTTCCCTCTCCTCCGCCAGTTTCTCGTTGAGCTCCCAGAGCTGCTGCAGGAAGCCGCTGTTGGGGTAGATGGCCCGCTTCCTGCGCATGGTCATCAGGGCGTCGAGGACGGCCATGCTGTGGAAGGTCATCAGGTAGGCCGCCACCAGCACTGCCGACCGGCTGGTGCCCATTTCACTGCTCACCAGCACTTTCCCTGGAGAGGACACACAAGCGGTGACACTGTCACTACAGTGGCTTCCTTGGAGCTGTTTTCCTAAAGTACCGTTTTGATGAGCTAGATTTACTATGTTTACTTGGCCTCGATACCCAGAGGGGCAAGCCCTGCCCCCATACAGCAGACGCCAGAGCAGTGAGGCTGCCCTGTGCCTGTTACACGCGCTCTGCATTGTCTGCATGCGGCAGGGAGTGGCTGCTGAGAGAAGGAACCAGCCACTGTCCCCATTTTTGAGACACAGGAGGGTATTTCTCTGTCCCCCTGCCAAACTGAGCAGCAGAAGGAGGAGAGGTTGGTAGGAAGCAGGGAAAGGGTAGAATGGCCACGACAAGGAATCACAGAGATGGAGAATCTCAGCGTCAGAAAACACAAGCCACAGCCGGAACTTGAAAATTCCCTTTACACCATCCGTGATGCTGGATCACACGTCCCCCGGCCTCTGTGGGATGCTCCCAGTGACGGGGAGCTCAGGAGCTCAGACGCAGACGCACACACACACCCATCACTCCATATCTGGATCAATCTAAGTGTTGAAAATTCTTCCACGTTAGGGCAAAATACAGCTTGCTGTGACAGGCATCCTGTGCTCCCGTTCTGACATTCTGGGGTCATAATGAACCCATCTGCGTGAACCATGCCTTTTATATGAACATCCTTAAGATCACTACCATATTCTTTAGTATTTTTTTCTGTTTTCCTGGCTATTCTGGATCTTTCTATCATTATTCAAACATCTTTTCATGTTCCATCACTATACTAGCCACTCTCTTTAATTTATCAGCTTTTGTTCTTAGGAGTTTGCATCAGGAGAGAGGAATTTCAGGCTTGGATGGAGCCCCACAGAGCAGTTCTGGGTCCTGACTCCTCACTGATGCCAGCTAAGCTTGCAGTGTGAGTGGACTCGTCACACAATGAACTCAAGTGACCTTTAACATCAACTGAAACCTATAAAGCTATTCAAAAACACTGCTATTAAGTCATGAGTTTTTTGTACCATTTTTTAATCTTAAGGGTAACTGCAAACTCCTATTTACGTTTTTGGACACTGGAACCTGTTCTTGTGACCTAACAGAAGGTTTGGCAAGTCTTGACTCTCAGTCAGTAGATGAGTAACCCTCAGCTTCCGCCTCTGCGTCCTTCATAAATGCAGCAAGCATGTTTCTATGCCTTCCCTCTAAAGGCAGTTTACAGTGCAGGCTGGGACCACTAGCGAGCTCCCTCTAGGCTGTCCTGTGTCTATTTGCCATTTGCCAACAGACTTTGGGGGTGTTTGTTAGATCAGGGAAGAGTCCTACCTAACAACATGGGATGGGGGTGAATTTTATTGCTATGTCCTTGCACCAGTTAAAACGATGTCTTTGTCACAGGGGAGGTCAGACACCATGGCAAGACTTGGGGGGACCTGAGGCCCAGTAATGCTGAAAGGCATTGTCATCAGGGCCAGCAGTCACGAGAGGGACATACGCAGTCAGAGTCAAAGCATCTACAGGTTCACCCTCTCATCTCCTCACCCCTCCAGCTCAAGGCTCTGCTGCCCCTCACCGAAGACCTCCCTTTACCGGCTGGCCAGGCCACAGGTTACTGCCATTCGTATTATAGCCTTACTCCTTTCTTGGGAGTGGACTGCCCAGGTCAGCTCACTGAAGGACACTAGCCGGGCTTGTGTAGGGGCATCAAATGCTACTTAGCCTCTGACCAGGCTGGGGGTCGTAAAATGTGCCAGGCCTTTCTGTGCTGTGTTCCCGGCAGCCTGCGGATCGAGGGGGAGCCTGGGTGGGTCAGACTCCGGAAGACAGCCCTGTTTCCTCTGTTCAGCACAAGGCCACATGAATGTTGTATAGCTTGTGCTCTGCCCAGCTTAGGGGCTGCCTGTCCCGTCAAAGTCAAACTTGGTTTGTTTGGTCATGATGAAAATTTTCCAGCAGTAAAATGGTTTGAGGATGGTGGTCTTTTTCTAATTTTCAGTCACCATTTTGATAAGCAGCCGGGCTGCTTGGGGGTGTCCATCTAGATGTGGCTGCTCTGGTTTAAGGACGTGAAGGGTGCAGCTGGTGGAGACAGCGCTGGGCTTGGGGGCTGTCCCGTGGCGCCCTCAGCCGCCCTCTGTGGCGGGCGTTCGTGCGCGTCCACCCAGCTGGTGGTGCTCCTTTACCCCAGGTCTCTGCCCCATCCACACCCCAGGGAAATTTGCCCAGAGGCCACGGCCCCACCACGATGGACACAATGAAGGGCAGGTGAAGGGAGGGCCCGCCAGACCGACTGTGTCTGCAGGGAGTCCGGGGCCGGGCTGAGGCGGCCAGCTCGCCGGTGTCCACCAGGCCCAGGACGGCCACGCTGCCCGAGGCGGAAAGGGGAGCAGAGGATGGAAGCCAGGAGCCCCCGGGGCTGCCCAGCCCGTGTTCCAGATTGTCCTGGAGCCACGTTCCTGTCTTAGGGCTCCTCTTACACTGTTCTGACCACTGTCTGGCTAATTGTCAAGCAGTCTGAGGTGGTTCCTGCTTGCTACCAACCACGAGCATCGTGACTATGACACAGTGGCAGCCACGGAGCCTTCCGAGGCCTCAGCTTCCCACTTTATAACATGTAGGTGACCCCCTTGGGGGTCATCGTGGTCCCTCCGTAAGCCGCCCGGTGCAGGGGCTGGATCTGCCTCCTGCCGGTAGGAACGGGCTGAGGCACCCCCGAGGGGAGGGCGTCAGAGAAGAAGGCTGCGGGCTCCTTGTCAGGGCGGTGACAACTCTCTGCCCCTGTGCAGGAACTACCCACAAAGGTCACCTGAGGCTGAGGCCCTTTCCTGCCCCCAGGAGCGCAGAGGAAAGGGCCGAGGGGCGAGGCTGGATGCAGCAGGTGGGTGGGGACGGCCTGCAGGGCTTACTCCCCTCCTGGTAACCTGGGGGGCTCCATGGGCCTGCCCAGCAGTCCAGGCTGGGCCAGTGCACTCACCTCACACTTGACAACCTCTGACATTTCCCTGCTCCTTTTCCCTTCCATCTTCTCTGCCTTCACTGCACTGCAAGGCCCAAAGGCCAGGAGCCGTCCCCGGGTCCCGTCCCCCAGCGCCTGGAACAGCACAGGGCTCGGGCGGCTCTTTTGACCGCCTGTTGGACGAGCGACGACCCCATCCCTGCCCCTCTTCTTCGACTGAGAAGACAGCCTTCTTGAGACAGACAGGCTCCAGGCACGGCAGACGGCCGGGGGGGGCCCCTCACGGTCCCCACAGTGCTGCTCCCCCCCCCAGCGGATGGTGGCGGTTGGCGCCCTCACCTCTGTAGGTCAGCAGGGCTTCGTCCAGGAACTCGGCGGCCTTCCGGAAGTGCCGGGAGATGTCCACCTCGGGGAAGTCGTCCACCTCCACACCCAGGTACTGGATTTCCAGGCCGGTATAGAATTCAGGCCCAGTGTAGACACCAGCGCCATGAGCAGCATTCAGGATGTGAGTAATTCCCAACCTCTTCAGCCGCCCCTTGTTCACAGCCACGCTCCTGCAGGACAGAGGCAGGGGACATTTTATTTTGCTGGAGTCAGAGCTAGAAAGGAGGCCTGTTTTGGCCAGTCGGGAGGACCAAGGCTGGCTGAGTGCCCCCTCTAGGCTCCTGGACGTGTCTGGGGCCCACTACAAACACGTTATGAAAAGGACACTCCCCAGCGAGGGACAGAAAGGCTGGGGGCTGGGCCGGGGAGGGCAGGATGAAGGGGAGGAGCCCATGAATGACCGGGAGATCTCTCGTTTAAAACCCCGTGCTTGGGGATGGACAGTCATCAAAACGCAAAAGTGGCAAATGAAAATGATAATCAGCTTAGGTGTGCTTCACAGCAATGTAGCATTCTGTATTTTTAAAAGTACTTTCACATGCATTATTTCATTTTTTCCTAATAATAAACTTAGGAGAAGACAGGGCAACTATTTTTATTCCCATTCAAGGATTATATAAAATGAGTCAGGGAGCTTTTACGACTTCTCAAGACCAAAAGGGGACGAAGACTGGGCAAAGACCGGTGCTGTCGGTCCCCAGCTCACAGGTCTGAAGAGGCCCTGGGGACAGGGCTGCCCAGGAGGGGGCAGAGGCCTTTAGCCAAAGGTGCCTGGAGATGCCTGGGGTCCATGGTGACTATGGTGTGAATGTTTCTGAGACTACAGAGCTCATTAAAGATCACTTAGGACTGGTGTCCAGCTCTGGGAACCAGGGTCTGGGCAATTGATGGCTCCACAGTAGAGGACAAGACTCAACATCCAAAGCTCTTTTCCATCCTGCCTGCCCCGGGGGCCCCAGCATCCCTCCTTCACTTCCGGAGATATGGGGATTTACCCTGAGAGAATATTCCACTACGTTGTCGGTGGATCAGCAAAAACCAGTCTCCCAAACGGGCTTGTTGGTACCAACTGTGCCCGGGAAAAGCCTGAAGGAGTAGGGTCGGATGTGAGCAAGCTCTGTTTGGTTTTGTTCCGGAAACCACTAATAAACTTTGTTAAAATGACACTTTTTCTGATTATAAAAATAATAAATGTTTACTCTAGGAACTCTATACAGTTTGAAAGAAACCTAGAGAAAAAAATAAAAATCACTTGTAGAACCACCTCCTAAGAGAGAAGCCCCGTTAACGTTTTATTACATTTGTTTCTAATTTATTGTGTATGGGAAGGTGTGCACGCACACACACACTCCATATACTACTCAGTTCTCATCATACTGTATATATGCTATTTTGTGACCTATTTAGCCTCTTACTAGATTGTGAAGATTTTCCTAAGTTGGTAAATGTGTATAAAAATCAGTATTGTCAATGGCTTTGAATGTCCTACTCTGTGGTTGTTACGGGTGTTGTGAGATGCTGGTGAGAGCAGGGTGTGTGTGGCAAGGGTCTGGGCAGGAAGAGGGGTCCTGACAGGTTGCCCAGGGGCATGGCCACAGCTGCGGAGGATGAGGACTGTGCCGGTGCGCCACCTGGTGGTGTGTGGGCATGCGGATGGGCGGGCGAGCCCCTCTCCCAGGCGGGGCTGGGTGAGCGGTCAGGCAGCATGAGCCTGGGGCCTTGTGAACAGGGGGGCTTGGGGCTTTCATCTCCCAGGCACACCCAGGGGTGGGACAAAGGCCCTGACCCCCAGCTGTCAGACTCACTTCTCTGCTATGAAGACGTTGGGCCAGACCTCATCCACCTCGTTCCAGGGGATCTCTTGGCGGTCTTGGACCAAGGCCCGCTGCAGGTCCCGGATGCAGGGTGCAGTGTGCGGGTCCGTGCCAGCCATCCTGGCCCCGATGCGGCCGGGCAGGTCCCCCAGCAGGAGCTGCTCGGCGGACTCCAGCATGCCTGCACGGTCGTCCTCCGGTCTGGTCCCCGAGGGCCCGAGCCCTAGAGGGGCAAGCAGCATTCTCAGCAAAGGGTTAGGGGCCCCTTGGCTTCCCTGCCACTTGGGAGAACCCTCCTCCTGGCCAAGCTCTCTCCATGGGCTGACGTGGGAGGGCTTGCAGGGTGGGGGGCTGCTTGGCCCGGGCACTGGGGTGGGGATCAGCAGCGGAGGTCTGTAGGTGTAGGTTAAGAGGCACCAGTCCCCGTACTCCCACCCAGAGTTCTCTCACGCTGGCTGACGATCTCTTAGATCGAGGCCCTTACGTAGCCGACATATGTCCGAGTCGTACTTACAACTTTCACAGTGCCCCAAAGTAGAAGCCTTTACCAAATGAATAAATGGCATTATTTATAACATAATTCCCTCTATTAGTTTGACTTCTATACATACGGACTACAAATAACACCAGAGAAAATAAAACTTTCAGCAATCATTTATGCTACATTGCCTTCTAATTTACATGTAATTTACTCATTTATTTCATTCCTTGTCTGCTCTCCCTGGGGTGCAAGCGCCTGTGCGCTCAGCCTCCCAGCTCTCAGCGGGCCGCAGGTCTGCCCAGGCTGTGCTGCCAGCCTCAGAACAGCAGCCAGGGCCCCCCCGACAACAGGCCAGGAAGGCCCAAACTCCAGCAGAATTCAAAGCCTACTCACCCACACCTTGAGTGACCTTTATTTCTCCCTCCTAATTTATTTCCTCCCAGTTTATCAACTTTGCAGGGAAAGTAAGATATTTCCTTTCTCTAAGAAGGTTTATAAGAACAGGCGAGTGAAACCTTTCCACCCCCTTAGTAGCTGAAAACGCTGAATAGAGAGAAGGAAAAAGGAAGATAAGTAGGAAAGGGGCATCCTCCGCGCTGGCCACCACGTTGCTGGCACCATCTCCCTGGTGGGCGAAGAGCACAGCCACGTTTAGCAAATAGACTTGACGGAGCCCTTGGCAGAATGAACAGGGGCTGTGAGCCGGGCTTCCTGCTCGAGGTCTGCGGGTCCTGGGAGCCCTGGGGTCTGCGCAGGACTGAGGACTTGCTTTCCCTAAAGCCCCTCTCTTCTCCCACCCCTCGTCCAAACCCCCCAGTGGGACCCCACACCCCCACCTCAGGTCTCAGCCCTAAATGCTCTCTGATCTCCGTTTCAAAAGCAGAAAGAAGAAAACCCCTGCAATCCCAGAGCTCTGTTTTGTTTAAAAATAGATGAAGCGCTCCTCCGTTTTCCTCCACTGCTGTTTTCCCTCTTGGTTTTCCCAGGATCTTGCAGAGCGAATCCAAGAGCCCGTCTCCTCTGCGCCCCTACTTAGACCACTTTCCTTTACTACCTGTAAAAAATAAAGCTCCCCGAGGCCTCATGAAACCCAGAGCATTGTCTTCCCCAGCTCTTTATTTACAGGCTGTCGTTTTGATTATTCCCTTTCCAGCTTGAAAGCGATCGTCCCAGCCCCTCATCTACACTGGCCAAGGCTGCTTCCCGGGTCTCTGGTTCACACCTGAGCCTGTTTTGATTGCATCTCCCTCCCTGCATCGATTGCTCTCTACTCACTGAGGTTTCTGCAGAAGAAAGTGAAGCCCATACATGTCTTCCCTGCACCGTCTCAGATGTGTGGCATATACACAGACTTTCATGAAAACAGAGGGGCCTTCCATGTACATTTTTACCCTCCGCTCAGATCACTGGTGAGCAGGGCAGCGTTTTGAAATATCACCTGACACATTTTCCTTTCTCTGTAATATATTATCATTTTCTTTCCCCGCCGTCCTTCAGCCGCTAAGACTAATGAAGTGGGCTCAGCGCCCCAGAGGCGGGAGAGGAGAGACCAGGGGGTAAAGGCCTGCCCAGCTGTCAGCCTCAGCCCACATGCTGAGTGTCCAGAGCATCCCACAGACCTGGAAGGGAGGAAATGGTTTTCTCACAGCTCCTGAAGCTGGCTTTTTACTGAGGACCAAGGCCTGGGGAGTGGATCCTAGAACAGGGATGACGTGGGAAGGAAGGTGAGAGAAATTCCCACCCACGCAGGCAGGAGGAGGACTTCAGGGCTGGGGTGGTGCTGGCAGCAATTTAGAGGGAACTAGACCAGCAGACAACACCTTAGCCTGGCTTGGAGCAAGGTCATCAAGAGCCCAGGTAGGGTGGCAGAATAAGTCAGAACAAAATTAGTTTGCCTTGCCTGAGGGTTTCAGACCCAGGCAAGTTCACTATGGTTTCATGAGATGGAGAGATTACAATAGAATGTTCTTGGGGTAAAAGGGTTTACACCCAGCTTTATTCTCATGGCAGTAGGTGGAGCTCTGGAATCCTGGCTGCACCCAGCAGTCTGCACGTCCATGATACCCCCCACAACCCCCCCCACCCCCACACTGGGCGTAGCTCTTTATGAAGGGACTCAGTCAATAATAGCTCATTGCCTGCGGGTGTGGGAGCGGCAGCCCTGCAGTAGGCCAACAGGTCATCGAGTAGTTTAGGGTCAGGTGAGGGTCCTGGCCACAGGAACTTCCACTTTGCCCACAGAGTTCTTTGAGAAGACAGGGCTGTCCAGGGTGCCCAGATCAACAAGCAATAGCCAATAGAATTTCTGGTCCCTCCTGAGGCGCACAGGTGGCCCTGATGTCCTCAGGGACTCTGGTGGGGACCCGAAGGGCCAGGGGATGGAGAAAGACCTGCGGTGCCCTGGGGGAGGATGTGGGGTTCTCATGCCTGCAGTGCACGGAAGGGGCCCCAGGCCCCGGGATGGAGACCAGCTGAAGCCCCAGGGCCGGGCCTGCCCGCCAGCAGTACACCCTTACCCCACCCCACCCCACTGGCAGTGAGAGGGCCCCCAGGGCAAAGGGAGAAGAAAGCGGAGGGAAGAAATCATGAAAGATTATTGCCCAAAACTGATTAGGAAAAGAAAATCCATCCAACCAGGATGAGTACTCATGACTGACGTACAGTTATGTTTTCCGCTCTGAAATTTGCTGGGTAAATATTAACATCTTTCCTACCCCACTGTGCCCCCCACCCCACCTCCTCCCACACGTGTGTCGGGTTGCAAACCATTGTTGAACGCCAGTGGAAATGCAGATCTAAATCTAAACATCCCTTCAAACACAACTCTCTGGATGCTTCTCGTCATTCCCTGGGTTCTTGGGCCTGTTCTAGCATTTGCTCTGCAGGAACGGGAGGCCCTGGGGACAGATTGCAGCTGCTCCCTGACTGTGGATCTTAGAGAATTTCTGCCTGTGCCAGTAAAGGTTGATGAGGAGGGTTGGCAGGACTGCCTGCTTTGGACCTGCTCCTCCTAATGTGATGGGCAGCCCCTGAGAAGCTCCTTCCAGTGGGCCCTTCTGAGGGTCTGCAGATGCCCATGGCCTCTCCCTGCTCCCACCAGCTTCTGATGGCATTACCTTCATGGATGGTCGGTTTAGCTGCAATGGCTGAGGAGAGGTGAATGGGCTCCATGAAAATGCTTTCTGTTTCTGTGTCCGAGACCACTGAGTACCTAAAAGAAGAGGGCATGTTCACGTGAGACATCTCGGCAGCTTCCAAACGGGGGGCTGTCTTTTTAGACAAGACACCTGGACCTGATTTTAGCCACAAGTGAAAAACAGTGAGAGGGTCAAGGGACTGCCTTCCGAAGCTTAGGGGCTGAGAATGCAGAGGCCCGGAACCTGCTGCTCAGTGGCCCAACTGTGTTCAGACCAGAGTTGGCACCTCTGTGAGCTGATGTCTGACATGGACGTCTAGGTTGTGGAGGGAAGGGTGTCTGTCTCTGCTCGAGGGTGTGGCTTTATTTTCTCTCCTGTGCCCACCCTTGGGCATACCGCTGCTCATTCTTTCTCCCTGTGCCTGTTCCTGTGATCAGTACCCTCAGATGCCCCTGACTGTGCTCGGATCGGTGGGTCGCCCCCTATCTTCTCCCTGCCCCTAAGGGAATGCTCTGGTCACGAAGGGCCGGCACAGCCCCAAATGTGAAGGGAAATGTGAAGATGTTTTTCAACACGCAGTCCTCATCCTGAACTCCTGGAATCAAGGTCAGCCTGAGTCTGGGGATGCGATGAAGTAACTTAGGCAATTGCCCAGAAGAATGCAGCAGAGGTGTCCAGAGGGACCTTTGAGGAGCACGGTGAATCAGAGGCAGAAACAAGGGCTGGGGCCTGGCCGTGGGGGGGCCCTCCTCCCTAGTGGGTTCTCCTCTTTTCCAGGTGTTGGCTGAGCTTTGGGTCTTTTTTTTCTTTTTTTGCCTAGTCTTTCCTTTAGAGAGGTTTGAAAAGCAGTGAGAGGATCTATGAACATTATTTTTGTTTCTATCACGAAACCGCCCTCGCGCTGCCCGTTAGTCGGCACTGCCTCGCACCTCGTTCTCAGAAATCACTCATCTGTTTTCTGTGGCCTTTTCCAGAATGTTACAGAAGTGGAATCATAAGATAGTCTTTTGAATCTGCCTTATTTCACTTAGCACAATGCATCTAAGAGTCCTCCATTCTATTACATGAATCAGTAATTTGTTCCTTCTTGTTGTTGAATAATATTCCACGCTTTAGCGCCTCAGGCTATGGCCCCCAGTCATTGTCACACTGCCCAGAGTCAAGGCTGGGTGTCCAGAGTCAAAAACGACACTCACACTGCTGGGCCGATGCTTCAGATTCTGTCTTCCTCCTCGATCCGCCTGCAACAAGGGTCAGAGCACGTGACAGCTGCTGTACTGACCCGTCAGGTCACGGAGGGGCAATCCACGGGAGAGTCCGGCGGAGGGCGTGGAACCTCTGTATATTGTCTTTTTGCTTTTAAAAGTCAAGCAAGTATGTCTCCTGATCCTTGTAATTGGCCTGTTTTCTCTTTATGGGGACCCATAAGATCGTTATTTGGTTTTCAGCATTTAGAAATTCCCCAGGGACTATTTTCACCCTTTGAATTGGCAATGGATCCCCTTTCAGAGTTGCCTTCTATGAATTTAATCCTGACAAAACTCCCACAAAGTAGGTATTACCATTATTCCTGCTTTAAGACAGGGAAGCTGTGGCTCAGAGAGGTTAACAAAATCACCCAAGGTGGTAACCAAGCAGTAGGCTAAGTGGCAAACACAGCGTGCTACTGCTATAAGTCCAATCTCCTCTCTGCCGCGGCACCCTGGCACGGTTTAGATGGGGCAGCAGAGGCGAGCCAGGTGGTGTCAGCAACCCTGGTTGGGTCCCCAGGCCCAACAGAGACTCTGACCCAGAAAAATCCTTAAAAAATACTTGTTGAAAGCACGGACAGGGTGGGCTGAGTTGAACTGAGCTGAGCCCAGTGGAACAGAATGGAGCTACCAGGCTGAGAGAAGCTCAGCGGAATTGATGAGTAGGGCGATTCTCTGGCAGCAGTCACCCCCATCAGAGTGGTGAACTCAGGGCCAGCAAGCCTATGGAGAAAGAAACGTCATGCCAGAAGAAAGGAGGAGCCCATGGCTCTACCCAGGGCGTGGCTAGACCTGCCCGCGCAGCGTACGGGACCGCAGGGAGGCACCCTCCCCGGGAGGTCCTCAGGGATTTCCAAGAGCAGCTGCGCTGCCTCATTCCCATTCCAGCATCACACACTCCTTGTGACCAGAAGATACATCTTAAAATAAGCGAGACTGAGGAGACGGGGTGGACTAAAGGTGAGGTTTGTGGGCTATTACCCTTGGATGTTAGAACTAGAGAGTGCACTGCCTGGTGAAGGTAAGAGCCTGGAACACCGGGGGGGTGGGTGTGAGCCCTACAAAGGCACAGGCTAGGTGGTCTTACCCCTGGATCCCCGGTACAAGGAAGGTGGTCAGGCAGATTGATCATCGAGTGCATGGTGGGTGGGCAGACAGGGAGAGGGCTGAACAGATGAAGGGATGGGATGTGCCAGGCGCTGGGCAAGGTGTCCACATATGGTCACCTTGGTGGTGAGCAGACGCCATGGTGTGCACGGCCCTGCAGTCTGTCTCCTCTCGCCTCTCCAGCTGCAGCCCACGCTGACTTCCTCTGGCTCCCTCCTTCCCAGCAGACAGGGCATCTCCTGGCTTCCCATCCTCACCAGGTTTTCCTCTGCCCAGGGACTCAGCAGAAGCCCGTTTCTGATGCTTGGGTGCCCAGTCCTCCCCCTCTGCACCCATCTTTCAGATCTTAGTCCAATCATGACCCCTTCTTTAGGGGAACCCTCCCTGACCTCCCCCCACCACTGCACCTTACACCTTTCCTTTACGGCACTTCCATCAGGTGCAATTTTACATTTATCTGTGAAATCACTTGATGAACACCTATCTCCTGTTCTAGACCATAACCTCTGTGAGACAGGGCCTGTGGCCGGGTACTCCGATGACTGTTGTGTTCCCAGTATCCAGCACAATGTCTGCCACAGAGTACATGTTTAGTAGATATTTTCTGATTCACTGGCTGACTGAATCTGTCCTCAGTATAGTATCATATATAAGAGAACGCAGCAGTTACAGAAATTAGCAACGGGTATTTATTAAGTATTTGTCACTTGATCATTTTACCGGGACACCAGCAGCAAGCTGGCAAGCAAAACCAGAGCCCCAGCTATGTTCTGTCTATGCCGCTGTCTCTGCCCGTCTGAGGATAAGACGCATGTGCTCTCAGAGGCCTATGCTGGCAATTTGCAGTTCTTTCGTAGGGTGGATTGAAGGTGGCTCCAGATATGTGATACACCTTCGTGGAGAGGCGGGGTCTCTGTCCACTTCCCTTGAAGCTGGGTGGTCTCTGTGGTCGCCTCACCGACACAACATGGTGGAGGTGACATTGTGCCAGTGTCAGAGCTCAAGTCCCCAGGGTGGACCCCCCTTCCTGGCTCTCCTCACCTGGAAGCCCTGAGCTGCCATTATCAAATCAACTACCCCGCGACCACCAGTCTGGAAAGGCTACTGGTCAGAAGTCCCAGCGAGCTCCCAGCCAGCAGCCCAGCCATGTGGGTGAGCACCCCAGAGGTGGGTCGTCCGCCCACCAGGCCACCTGCGCTGCCACCACGGGAAACGGGAGGAAAATGAAATCATCACCTTAACTCATTGTGATAATTTGTTTAACAGCAACAGAAAATGAGAACAGTGCTATTCCGAGGGCTAAGCGGTAAACTTGGGGCAAACACTAAGTCAGTCTCCTCCCTAACGGTGATGCAGGACCTGACAAACACCAGGGACCCGAATTTGCTGCCCTTGGGAAGTCACAACGGAATAATATCACCACAGGAGAGCCAGCCCTGCCTCTGGGCCGGACCCTGTGGGCATGCTGGGCCCGGGTCAGGGCAGTCTTGGTTTTAAAACACAACTTTTCCTAAAACTAGCATCAGAGCCTCAAATTTCATATAAATGTGTGTCACATTTCCATTTCAACAACATTCATTAAGGGAATGTTCTTCTTTTATTAATAGTTAATAGTTATACTGTCGGTAGTAAAATAATCATTTTGTTTATTGAGAGTCAGTATTATGTAAAATGAGGTTTGAGGGAGAAAAAATCAAAACAAAACCCTGACCGGGTAAGTTGCTGAGAATTCTTGTGTTGCTGTGGGGATGGCAGGGGCTTCCTCTGGACACATTCCCCCCACAAGGTCAGTTTTCTTTGTTCTGAGGGCGTCCAGGGCCCTGCATTCTCCTGTCTGTGGCCAGTTTTGCAAACAATGGGACAAACAGAAAAGAGACCTGGGTGGGGTGGGGGGAGCACAGCTGCCAGGTGTGCAGAGAGGCCAGGTGAGGCACCCAGAAGATGGCATCACCAGGATCCCAGCCAGGTACACTCTACCTGTGAGCCGTTGATGATGCCATTTCCCCTAAGCAACGATGCCTTCAGATTGCGTGGGTCTGGTTTCATGTGACAAATACCCAGAATGGAGAATCCGTCCTAAAGATACCCACACTCTGAGGCTGTAGGTTTGATAGGGAGAATTTGAACAACCTTGTGTGTGGTAAAGACTGACTTCAGCTCATGAGTCAGCAAATCTGAGAAATCATATCTGTAGATTCTACGTTTGAGAAGCTGGTGGTTTTATGACTGAGAATAGAGGCGACCTAGGAACAGAGGCCCTCTGCTCTCGGCTGCTGCTGCAGAAATGTGAGCCAGAATAGACTCGGCCTGGCATCACCCGGGTCCAACGGAGGATGTAAATTCCAAGTGCTTTTATGAGTCAACTGCTTGGAGAGGAGATGTACACCTCGTCGCCATAAAACTGTTCTGCCACACACGCAGTTCACAAAGTCTAGCAAACAAAGGGTGGGGGTAGGACCTGCAAGGACCTGCCTTCAGGACAGGCTTCCTGCAGCAACCTCATTCTCCATGGAGAAGCAGGACTGCCGAGAAAGGAAGGAGGAGAGGGAGACCTGCACAGCTGGCCCTATTCCTGTTTGCAAGGTCAGGGAGGAGGTGGCCCCAGAGGTTCTGATTTACCACCATGTCTGTGCCTCCGCCCGCACACCTGAGATGGAGTGGAATGACGCTCACGCCCTGATTGGAAAGCAGCAACGGCCGGCTGTTCAGAAGACGGG